CTTCCATTTGGAGCCCTCGATCCTCCTTCATACTGGCATGCCTCAACGTACGCACATTGATACAAATCGGTCAACAGGCAGCACTTGCCCGAACATTGGAGACCCTCTCGATCGATATCTGCTGCTTATCGGAGACCCGCCTGCAAGACTCGAGCTCTGTGCTCACTCTGCGATCCCGTTCAGGTAACACCAGCAGTATTTTCTTATTACGCCTCTCAAATGACGACGTGGCTTCGAGCGCCGGCCAAGATGGTGTTGGCATTGCCTTGAATCCCTGGGCTGAAGCTGCTCTGGTTGATTGGTTCCCAGTCAGTAGCGCGATGATCGTGCGCACGAGACTAGACGGCCAACCAAAGGCACAGGGTAGAACACACAAATTATGCTAGGGAAAGTTTATAGGACGGGAGGAGAGTTAGCTAATGCTAAAAATAGGGCACCAGAAGAGAGCTAGCTAGGGAGGATGTAGTTAGGCGTCGAGTGCGTGGACGGAGCGTCGTTCGCAGTCGAGTCGCGCGCCAAAGGCGGATATCGTGTTCGTGTTTCAAACAAACGGGAACAACGTTCCAACTGGCAAACCTTTTGATACCCTACTACATAAGAAGGCTATAAGTTTAATATTTTTTGAATAGTTTAAATAGTCAGGGAAATCTCCAGATCACTACACCAGCTTCTTCGCTACAGGAGAAGCACGAACACAGTTGTGCTGGTGGTGTATGTGAGCGCACAAGTAGGAAAACTTGTCCAGTGATGAAATGCATCTGCGCGGTCAGCACGATGTAGGCTTCCCGTAATGATAACGGTGAGCGGTTGCTTCATTTGTGTGAAGATACCCGCTTAGTTCTTGCGGGCACTAATTTCCGGAAGGTGATTTGGCGCCCTCGAACTAGCTATGGACGCAAATCGATCACATTGCAATCAGTTACCGATGGAGGCTGCGTCAAGAACTGTCGCTCAATCTGCAGCACATGTGTGGGCACCGACCATGCACTTGTATCTGCTGACACGCGAATGCCTTTTGGCGGACGCCCACGACGGTGTTGTGACCGCATTGATACCAGTCAGCTGACGAAGTCAGCTGTACTGAATGCGTATCGAAATACGCTGACATGCGGGTTGTGTAGGCACTAACCGGAGACAGTTGAAGGTCACTGGTCACATGTTCGCCATACCTTACTAGCAGCAGGAAAATCCTCATGTGGTAAGTCTAATAGCCAACATGGATATTGGGTCTCTTCCCAGTCTCTGGATTTTATCGATGCTCGCCGGTATATTCCGGCTAGAAGTGAACACAATGAGACCCGCAAAGAGCTCCGCGCAAAGCCGTCTAGTCTGAAGAGAGACCGCGAATGTTGGTGGTCTCTTCGTGCGTCAGAGTTGAAAGTGGCCGCTGCCCTTGGTAACCATGGAAAATTATTCCGTTTGATAAGGGAAACGGGCTACAGGAGTCCTCCTGTTAAGGAAACAATTTATGACGAGTGTGGACAGCCTATCCACAATTTATCAAACGTTTGGAGCGTTAGGTTGAGCATTTTAAAAGGCTATTTAATCGACCAGAATTGTTCGATTCCTCAGCGGCCAGCAATCGCCGTTCCCTGGGCTGTTCCTATGGATCCACCCTCACTCAAAACTTCAACGTGAGATCGGACTGTTGAAGCTGAACATAGCCGCGTGACCAGATGATCGTTTTTTCTTCTAATTCGACGACCCTACTCTTGTTGACAAATTACACGAAATGCTATTGAAAGTGTGGCAGCAGGAAACTGTCCCAACCGACTGGAGCCGCTCCGTTATTGTTCCGATCTTCTACGGAGTCTCGCGTTCGGAATGCGGCAACCATAGAGGAATCAGTTTGATTTCCATCGCCTCAAAATTGCTTGCCTCTGTCATGCTTCACAGACTGAGTGGCGCTCGTGAAAGCCACATTCGTGAGGAACAAGCTGGGTTTGTCGGCGTCATGGCTGCACCGTCCACAACTTCACTTTGCGTCAAATATTTTAGCACCGTCACACATATTGGCAATCCACCGTTGTAGTATTCCTCGTTATCAAAGGTGCTTTCGATTCGGTTGATAGATGCACTCTTTAGGACTGTCTACCCAGTAAAGATGTGCCCGAGAAATATGTAAATATTATCCGAACATTATACGCGCGTAGCTCGGGCGGAGTTAGGGCTTCCGGCAAGCTGTCGTCGCCCTTTTATATCTCTAACGGTGTGAGACAAGGTTGCCCGCTGTCGCCTTTCCTCTTCAATTTCGCTATTGACGAAGTCACGCAGATTGTAATTACAGGACGCGACTTAGATGTGGAGCTACTCCAAGGAGAACGACTTATTGACTTGGAGTATGCTGACGACATTTCCCTTATCTGTGACAGCTCCCAAAGGTACCAAGCAGCAGTGGCCAGATTAGCACTGGTTGTGAGCCGCTTAGGACTTTGCACCATCGAAGTCTAAAGCTTTCCTCCTGCGCTGACCCTTGGTGAGGATCAGCTAAAAGTCGTTCAAAAATTCAACTACCTGGGAATTTGTATCAGCACCCGTTGGATGGAAGATGATATCACGAACCGTATAGCAAAAGCTCGGGGCACTTTTGATAACTTTCACCACTTATGGCGGCGGCGCAACATCACTCTCGCTGTGAAGGGTACAGTGTACAATGCAGCGGTAGGTTCGACCCTACGATAAAACCTAGCCCCTTAGATCTGCCGACGTTACTACGTCGGACCATCGATGCCTTCGCAGTTTGGCTCACATCTGGTGGGAACACCGCGTGAGCAACGAGTGCTTTTTGGCATAGGAAAAGAAAATGAACCACTCAGCACTGTTATTTCACGCACTAAGTTCCGATGGTTCGGCCAGGTTTTACACATGCCAGCCCACCGACTCTCGCGACGTGCGTTGTTCGCGAGCCGGAGGTTTGGATGGAAGAAGAGGAGAGGTGGACAAGCTGACTTGCTTGAGAGGAATGAAGGCCCTTACGTCGAAGCTGGCCTCAGCCCCCTGGTTGGGGTCGGAAAGACGGTCAACACGTCTGGCTGGATACACTTGCTGACATAGCTAGAAGCCGAACTTAGTGGCGTTCGTGCTGAGTTTATTTATCCCTCCCGATCCCTTTTAGCCTCCCTTTCCAACCACGTTCTCACATTTTAGCTTTATATAATTTTGCATAGTACCTCGGCTGGCTTGCACCTGTTGCATTTTTCTCATTTTTTCTTCTATGTATGGCGGCACAGTGGCTGAGGTGTCCCACCTCTAGCTATCGTGTATATTGCTGATGATGAAATATTTTCTATGAACTTGCACACGTCGCCGAAGTTAATTGTACTTAACTTTGATAACATTTTCGCGTTTGTGGCATTTTTTTAATATATATCTTCTGACGTTTTGAACCTATGGCGCACTTCTTTTTGCAACCGATTTATTTCTTATGCCCACTTAGTGAAGAGTTATGTCGCCGTGTCTGTATGCGTTATTCGATGGATTTTATTTGATATCCTCGTTTCAAGTGATTTGCTGTTGATTGACATCCCCGGTGTGGCTGCGCTTGGTGTGCATGTTGGCAAGGTGCCTATCTGTCTATTACCTACTACTTCGTCCATACTGGCACCAGGAGCACACTACGGTTCAGCCACCGCCTTGTGTGTGCTTGATTCCTCAATACAGCGTGCTTGTGCTTGCCTGGGAAGGAGTGTGGGCCGGCTCCGTTGATGAAACGTGGCTCCCATCCACATGCCTGCCGGTCTTATTCCTTCGGGTTTACACTGGATATGGGGTGTGTGGTTGGAGCTGTGGGTGTTGCAGCGCAAGCCACCCATGATCTTTCTGTAGGCGCAGGTGTCCTGTGGCTGACCACAGTGACAGGCAAATCCGAAATCTCATGCCGCCAACTGGCGGCACCATTGACTAATCTGGTATGAGTGGCTCTGAAGGTGCAAAAAAGCACCAGCCAGCATAGCTCAATGGATCTCTGAGACACGTTAACCATTGCACTACGGTAAGGTCCAGCCTCACTGCGATGGAACGTGAGATATTTGGTCAATTCACTTCTCTTGGCAGCTGTGTAGGCAGGCAACAATGTGTGCATAGAAATTGAAGTCATTTCACGCATTGCAAAAGCCAAAACTGCGTTTTTGAATTTGCGACATCTTTGGCGACAGAAGGGAATTTCCTCCGTTTGTAAGGCCACAGTAAGAGTCGTCCTACTCTATGGGAGTGAGACTTGCACCTTCACTCTGAAGTTTTGAGGCGCCTTCAAGTCTTTGATCGTCGTTATCTGTGAAGCGCTACTTGTATCGCATGGCATCAGCGCGTCCGCAACGATGCTGTGCGTAGGCGAGCGCTAGGCAGTGATACCCAAGCTAATTCCTTAGGTCATCAGAGCACTGAATAAGTTGCGTTGGCTTAAGCACGTACTACTTATGCCTTGTCACCGCTTACCGAGCAGGGCCTAGTTTTGTTTGCCAGGTGTACAGTAGCACAAGGCTCGAGGTGGATAGAAATTGACTTGGCAATGGGAAAGTAAGTCACTGACGACCAAACTGGGTGCCGTCAGTCCGTCTCGCCTGTCATTCTGGATTCCACATGACTCGCTTTGTGCTTGCCTCAAGAGTTTACAGGACATGGCTCGCAACAGACACCAGTGGCGCGTTTGCTGCCGTCTCCTAATCGGATTGCCTGTTTAAAGTGTGTTTGGTGCTGAGTTATCTGCGGGGTAATGGCTGATTATGACGCGGGGCAGTGAAAGCCGCAAAGGAGCTGTCTCGCCGATGCCGCCTTATCTTTGTACGACAGCCAACTGTTTGTGATGGCATGTTGTTAGCAAGGCGTAGGCGTCTTGACCCTGAATATTTGCGTAGGGCATTAAGGTTTTCCGATAAGTACCGCTTCTCTGCCTCCTATTATCGTTCGTTTCGTAAGTCGGTTTTATGGCAACGAAGCATTAGTTAAAATGGATAATGTACTGTTGATGATGATGATTGATGTTTGCTACCCTTTCTCCACAGGACCAAATAACGGACCGCAGCGCGGGGTCTCAGTCCGACTTCGACTCCAACTTGGTACTCATGTCGGATGGAGTGAGCCGGCTCAAAAACTTGGCCGAGGGCATGAACGAAGAGTTACGTGCACAAAACGAACGTTTGGAAAGAATGGCGCCCAGAGTGGAGGCGGTTACAGGAACAATGGCCAGACAGAATCAGCAGATGAACCGTTTGCTAGGGATCAAACCAAACTGATGGACCAAAAGTAGACGTGCTGTTGGTTTCGCACAACATATCTCCCTACATGCACACGGAATTTATTTTGATTATCAACGTTTACTTGCTGCAGTTTTTTGGGAAGAGCCATCCCGGCGTATCAAGTTTTTTACGATGACGACTTGTAGGCCCTGTGATTTTGCCATTTAATTGCACTCTTTCAATCTGTGATCCACATGCGGTGTGTAAATGTCACTCACTTTCGATTGTGTAATATATAACGGCTTCGATTTTTCACCAACCGAGTGACCCAATGACGCATGGTTGCTAAAGCTTCAACGTTTCAAATGGTGATTTCTAGACGCAATCGATTAATGGAAGACAGCTGCCACCTGTTTGCTCATGTCAGACATGATGGAAGAGGACAGCAGTGCTGAATAGAAGCGACCGTTTTTCCTTAGGACGCGACAATTGAACCACGCTAAGGGGGTGCTTACTGTGTGTAACGGACGCAAGGCTGATTCGTGGTAAAGTGATTCAGGCCTTTAACCAGCAACCTCAGGTGTGAGGCACCTATCCTGCCTAAGTTTGGATGATTTGGCGGTCGCCTAGCAGTGAATCATCGGTACAAAATGCCGGTATTTTGTTCATGTAGATGTTGGCCAGTGATACCATTTGCTAGTGGCGTACAAGTAATGCAGATGGTGGACAGGTGTTATGTGGCGTGTAAATCTATAACTTGGTACTTTCGGCTGCGTGGGCCAAGATTACTGTGTCGATGATATTTTCGCATTGAACCCATCTCGAGAGGATGAAGAACAATCATTGGCCTGACATAGAGCGTAGCGTTGTCCTTGTCACATGACATAAAACAGACATAGCGCGAGGGATCACCGGTTAGAAAACAAGGTAAATAAAAGTAAAAAGATATGTTTGCGTATCCCTAGAAGACTGCAATCCAAGTGAATTGCAAGCAGATGATCATTACACTCCAGTGGAGTTCTGATAATATGCGGCTCCACTGTCTGAGTTTCTTCATCCAGTTGAGCAGCTAGAAGCATCATCTTACGTAGACTCGAATAGTGAATTCCTATTCTGAAACTTCTCATCACCCCAGCGGTTTATCCGACGTGGAGCTCCAGCAGTGGGCTCTTCACAAGTCGATACAATTCGCCTAGCATCCACTGATGTAGTGCGCCCAGATTGGTGATTGTATAGCGGGTATTGAAGTGTACAGCGTCTGGAAGTTGAGAGAAACGCGGACGAATCCGGTGGATATGGGGACGAGATGATACGGTACCTGACAGGATGTTGACTGTCGTCCGTTACGTTCGTTCGAGCTTTCCCCAATGGTCCTGAGACAGGTCGTCTGACCATGTTTGAGGATCTCGCAGATGGTTGCTGTGAGCGTTGGAGAGTGCTTGGGGTGGCTCCACCGCCGAATCGGTCAGACTTGGAGTGGATCGATAGACCTGTGGAGAAAGAATAAACGGACATTAACGCTAACCACAAAAAGAGTGGGAAAACAATTGTAAATACCAAATAGGAGTATGCAATCATTACGTATGTGACCAGGAACCAGCAAGTTACATGATGTTGATCTGGATCAGTTATGTCAACGTAGCTTTCTGTGTTAAAAGCCGGTCTCGCTCATCAATCGAACGACAGAGAGGCTGGTTACTCGTGTATCACTGCATGGTTGTAGTGAGAAAACAACGAGTTCCTAGAGCTGTAAGGATAACCGCCATCCGATTCTGTAATTGTCCAGTAGATGGGCGAGTGAAAAAGGTTATGCACTAATCGGTTATCCCGCATCAGTCTGTTAAACAGAAAGGTGAAGGAAACCTAGTCCAGAAGCACAATCCTCACTGGCGTTAACATCTCTTGTAAAGCATTTGTATTACAGAACAAATATCCTAACACAGACAAACGCTTGCGAAAGGCATGGTGACACAAGAACTGAACTACAGCAGCAAGAAGATTGTGATCTCGACCAATGTGATGCTTATCCAAATTAAGAACATGACATAAGTAAAGGGGAGAAATCAGGCGCAACTGGGGTACGACGTAGAAGCGGGGCTATTACTAACACACTGCGATGAAATGGACACAACACGTATAGCAGCCAAGACGATTCGGGATGGTAAAACGACCTGGGGACGTCGGAAGATAGAAGTGAAGGACAAACTACTCTTATACCTAGACTAAGTAACTAGATACATCACTCAGCAGACATCGACAACCTCCAGGCCCGAAAGGATAAACACCTGCTTTGTAAAACTATCGGTCATCAATTCGAATCTGCGGGCGACTTTGCGGCGTACGCAACCCACGAGCGACTGCTGGTGGCGGTCACGTGGCATCGAAGCGCCGGTACAATGTTCCAGCGTACTGCGGATGTCTATTTCCGTTTTTTCAGAATAGATACGCGACGCCACCGACCACACGGCGGGCCAGGATCGACCAACTAGCCGCTGTTCACATTGTAGAGGCCCCGTTATCTGCCACCACAGCGCAGAGACATGGCATTGCTCGAAGTGACATATTTCACTATTTGTTAAGTCGGTATACTTGTCAACGTCGGAAAGGCGACTCTGAATAAGAAGCAAGCGCATTCGGTTACCGTCTACTAAGTCAGAAAACATCCACAGAGTGCTGTTCTTATGTAATTTTGCAAATAGCACACTGTTTCCAATGATCTACTTACCCGGCAAAACAGCCTAAAAATCTTGCGAAAAAAACCAAAGGCTAGAACACGTCGGTGACTGTCGTGATCGGCTCCGACCATACCACAACGGGAAGCTTTTTCCATATAAAACCACAAATGTCCCTTTAACAACAATGCGACGTGGCGGATGTGACTCGCCACCAAATAAAGTCACGGCACACGGTTTCACTGTTGTATGATAATTAGACTACAAAGATAGTGCCCTATCCGCATTCCGTCACCACTTCACTTTTACGCTATTACTGTTGATCCTTACATTACACGCACAAATGAACCCATTCTATCGTCACATCACGAACGATTTTGTTCTTCACCAGTATTTTTCCCATTTCTGTAATATAACTTCCATCTGCCTATTGCATGCGACGCAACTTGTCTGTTGCGATACCCAATTGCCTGATATAGTGTGCTTCGATGCATTCGAGAATAAAATATTTATTCATTTAATAATACACTAATCTTCCGAGTACCAGATCATAAGAAATTCCTAGGAATCTATTCATAGTTGAGGCAAGATCAAGAGTGCAGTCTATAGTTGAATCATCTTGTGTTGACTCAACGTGCATATGCGTCGCTCCTACCTGGTGGTGCTTCAGGTACACCCGACTGCGTCTGAGATTCAACGAGGACTGCGCTCGGATTAATGGAACCGGTTGTTTCTGCCTCAGAGAATATTGTATCTTGTGGTCTGTGCTGAGATCCAAAGCTCCCTTTACTTTCACAAGTTTTGTTCTGTAAGTGACGCTTTTCATTGATGCCTGTGGCCGAGTGGTTGTTTCTGGAGGAATGCTAGTGGCGTAGAGCGGCCTCGGTGGAGCGCAACAGAACTCGACGCTGCTGATACCGATTTAAGCGACTGTATATTCCGCTGACCACACTGTTTATGATTTGATTGTGCTCGAAGTCTCGGCGTTCCAGTCGCAGCTGTTGTGACTACTTGTGTGCTGCGAATAGAGATGCGTGACCCAATTTTTGGTTTCGAACTGGGCAAGGGGCAGTTTCCTTTCGCATCACATGGCACGCTGATTCGGCTAGCAGTCTGCTTACTGATGGCGGAGTGTACTGGCGCACAGGAGTGTAAGACGCCTCTAGAGTCGAATTCCGGGGTTCGGTGCGATCCTGCGGCGATTTTGCGCGTTCGACAGAGAGATGTCTGATGCTGCTGCTGAAACCATTCCAGTAGTTCTCGTTGTGAGTCGTCCCACCGTGGCTGTTGTAAATGTTTGGGGTCGTTTCCGTAGGCCAGCGCAGCGAGGCTGGACCCTGGGAATGTGATTCTTTCTGTAACGGAACCAAGGGACGAAACACAGAAGTCTGCGTGAGTCGCGAAAGACTCCCCTCCCTCAAGTACAGCGCATGTAGCAGCATTAATGATTAAAGGCAGCTGCGATCTAGGGACACAGATCGCTACTGTTGCTGCTGAGTTGTAAAAAAAGTGACGACGTGTTCACAGAGTATTTGTGGACAGAAAAAGCTCGCAAAGTTCTGGCGCGACTCACACATATTAACTCAAACTGTATTGTCGGCGGGGGACGCCCGACATGCCTTGAAAACAATCACTGAGCAAAATGGAGTGTTGCGTCTGCCCAGCAATATCAGCATACAGTCTTCCCGACCAAGAGTGGATGAAGGTCCCGGTTGAGGGAGACACAAAGCGATCCAACCCGAAGCTTAAAGAAAGTCCTAACGGCTACCACTAGTGCTTTTCGCGAGAAAAAAAAGGTCAGCGGTCAGGGTCTTCGTCAACAAGATCAGCCTGTTCATCTCCTTCCAAGGAGTATGAGCGAGGAGGGAAACTACTAGTTTTAGTATGATGTTGAAGATGAGTATAAATACCTACAGACTTAAAGTTCTTGATTAAGTGAGCGCCTTTTTAGAGCATATCAAGAGAAGCGTCAAAATTTGCCACGCACTTAAATCTGACGAACACGATCAACAAATAAATGTTGAGAGAAGAAACCGCGAAGTAAGAGATACGCCTCTAAAGCTAGGGTGATTGTTATGCAGAGTGGAGCCTTCCAGGATCGCAACCTCCACTCGTTAAAGCGTCGTCGACCGACCATGCAACGGTTGAAAATAATCTAAAATTTGGTTAAGTCCCGCGGACTTTTGGATCGGAATAAGCTTTTTTACGCAGAGTGAATCAGGTACACGCAACCTAACCACTAAGTTCTGACGCCCTTACGCGCTTTGGCTGAGCTATCCTTCTTGACTTAAGGAACAAGCATCCGGGCAGTATTTTAGCCAGTTTGTATTCATAATCCAAGACAAAACAAGAAGGAATGTGATTTTGGAGTAGTGTTGAAGGCATTGTCGGTCCGTGCATAGGGATATTAATCATAGAAGATGTTGGGGAAGCTTTTGGCTGGTCGCCATATATGATATATATATATTAAATATATAAATATATCGCTCGATGTCATATTCTTATAGGCACTTCTATTTTTATTTTTCCAGTTCGTCCCTGTGGGAGTTGCAGGGACGAACTGGAAAAATAGAAATAGGAATGCCTATAAGAATAGACATCGAGCATTTCAAAAGCATGTAATTGGGGGGAAAAAACGTCACATGCATAACACTTGGAAAGAGACAAATAAAGAGCACAAACATTTCCTGCCTTTTTGACACGTCGCTTTGCACATTTTTCAAGAGCCACTGCTTTTGGGATCAGAAATCCACGCAAATTTGCGCACGGTGTTTACCCTGCAACAGATTCTGCGCTATCGCTTCGAGCATTGCAAGCCACTAGAGCTTTTCCTCTTTAAATCTTCAAATGGGAAGACGTACGGGGACAGCGATTGCTAGGGAAGATAAATTATTTCTTGATTTGTCGCCACTAGATTGACTGGCCTCCACGCGACCTTGCGTGCGCAAATAGGGCGTGGTGTGGTAAACGTTCGGACGTGACAACTCATATCATTTGGCGCAGCAGAACAAGCCCGACAGACCCGTCTTTCCCAAGTCATTATCATTGCGCACCCACTGCTGTCACCAAACACAGACAATTCTCCACAAATGACCACTGTCAAAAGCCGAAAGCCTAGCATGTAATCTACCCAGATCGGTCAAGATTCGCATCCGGAAGGCTTCCTTCGGGTTGTCGGTAGGCAATGCGGCGAAGTTCTTTGTGCCCTAAGTTTACTGGTCGAGTTCGGTGGTGGTCGAACAATAGCAGGAAGTGCGCAGAGATGCAATCTTCAAGAAGTGATAAGTTAACCCACAGACTGATTGGTGCGAATTTGGCACTGCTAACGCAAGAAGCTCCAGTGGTGTCAGTTGGCGGAACACAGAGTCAATGTGTTTACCAATGACATCTGGTAGTTTAGCTGAGCCGACTGATCGCGTCGAGTCTGCAATGCTTCCGTATCGGAGGCCCTCCGAATCGCACGGACATGTTCGCACAAACCAGTTAAACTTTATGGGCAGATGCCAAACCGGCATCTGGATTAAATCGAGAGTAACGGGGAATAAAAGCAGAATAGTGGGTTGCGTGTGATGGAGTTTCGTAAGAAGTAACGGTCACAAGTCGTAAGAAGCAACGGTCACGATAGAGTGTAACGAAAGTAGCACTGTAATCCATGGCATTTAGACGGTGTTTACTATCCAGCTGCCCAAGCCGAAATAAAATGTTGAATTAGGGGACACCTACTCGACTTTTTGGCTAAGAAGCCCACTAGCAAGGCAACGGAGCGAATTCAGGGAACTGCGTCCATTGAGGTCCGGTGACAGATCTCCCGGTTCGTCCGCTGTTTTGTTTGGTAATTAACGCAAACAGGGGCGCAATCATCCCAAAATGATAGCATACAGCTGCTGGAACACAATGCCCCGTTTGGGCTGTGACTTTATCTAGCGCTAGAATCACATCCAACACATTGATGTGTTATTAAACAGACATATGTGAATCTTTACAGAGAGAATGCTTGCCAGACGAAAACTCAACACATCCTGGAACAATGCGGCAGAACCATTTTCTGGAAAGGGATAAACCTGGATCATTCAGTTGGCACCACCGGGAGGTTGTTCTTCGAGCCAATGACTAATAGGTTGAATGGGGCGCAGAAAGTTCGGGTGTGTAATTCTCTTCGCCACGCACCGCATCGCAAGAGCATTATTCACTTGCAAATGACTTGAGTCATAGGTCTCCCATTCAGACCCACGTGAGATATCTACTTGAGTATAACGTTCGACTAACATCAGACAATGCGCAGGCATGAAGCACTCACTCTTTAACTGACTCGTCGGCCACGACTTGCGAACTGAGTCGATCAGCTTGGTCAAGCTGGAGGGGCCGCAGGACACTGAAGGAAATTGAAAGGTGAGATGTTCGTTAATGAGAAAAAGTCATGAGATCACAGAAAGTAAACAACAACAACAACCTCAGATGAAAACGATCGAATCCCGAATTCCCGACAGAACGACAATAACAGTAGTGCACCAGTAATCTGCGTGTATACCTCACTGTCGGATAATCACAAGGGCCGTGCGAAGAACATAGTGAGAAACCGAAATGCCCCAAACAAACACTCAAAATCAAAGCGCTTTTACACCTTGTCCGCATCACACAATGACAAACAGCCGACCAAAGTGCGGGGATGGAATCAGTGAGACAACTTCCCTGATGCTTTCGTTGCTTCTCCTGTACAACGTTATTCACAGATAACCCGGTACATTAAAAATGTTAAACAGGCAATTAAGATAATAAACAATAGCAATCGCTTTGTTGGTTCCAGTTTCGAGCCAACTCGGACCAAGCACAATGCAAGTCGCGTGGATCCCGACCTATAAGGTGTGACTGGACTCGTACCGCTGAGATGGGGCCTCAATCTGAATTCGCATGCATCCGAACCGTTGATCAATCTAGCCTGTAACAGATCGATAAATCAGGGCGATATTTTAACCGTCAAAACAGCTATGTTTAGTAGTGTTACGTGGTGGTTTCGGTGTTAGGATGTCAAAGTCATCTGGGAAGACGTGGAAAATTTCAAGCGGCGGTCCGTCACACCGTCTTAGATGTATCAAGCACAAAGTTCTAGTCACATAAGAGTAGCTTCAAAGCGACCGAGTGTGTCTCCTAAGCACACTTTATCTAACAAAAAATATAATGGTGAGAACGGAGGGTGAGTAACAAGAGGACGAAAAACCAATCTGACGATTTTCCCAGATGTGTGGGAGTTGTGAGAATTGATTGCATTGTCGACATGTATCGATGAGAACAACTCGACCGGCTAGGAGGATGATAGGACTGTGACAATCAGAGCTATTACACTGCGGCCCTGAAATAACGACACAGAGAGCAGTGCTCACATATGAACTCACTGGGTGGTTTGTCCATCTCCATCCTGTTTGATTTCCCTGGAGAGAACAAAACCCCGGTTAAAGTTCGGTAGGTGGGATAGCGGTGTACAAAGGACAAAATAACACAAGGAAGATAACCAAATTGCAAAGATCGGAACAAGAACAGGTGGAATGTAGTGTACCTGTCCACTCCGATGAATCTCTATAAATCGATTAGAATACGAATTCAGTTTCATCATTAGGGGAAAAAGCAAGTTTAATTTTGGAAAAACATATAGCTATGATGTTCACGTTTTATTACTTTAGAGCGATGTGAGAGGTGTTCTCAATGGAATTCAGTGTATTGTGAAAGAAGGGAATGACAGCTAACGGAACCAGCCGACGACACCGATACGAAATATATGGAAACACGAGGCATCGAGTCTTACCAAACAGTACTTTAAATGCTAGGAAAATCAGCTCCTAATTTCGAGATTATCGGAAATATTCATTGCAGTTTTTAAAAACGGATTTTCCCGCTTATTCCGCCTTGCTTCACAAAGACCGCCACTTCGCTTCAGTGATTTTTGGTTGGTCTGTTAATGGGATCGTGCTTCGAACCTTACACGATTAATAGACAATTATATACTGATTAGCTTTGATTTGTTAACTTTCCAACACTAGGTCTTGTTTTTTCCGGACCTTCGGCGTGGTGAACTTCGCTTACAGGAGCCTGTGCACCGAAGCGAGCGTTCCTGCTTGAGAACGGTATCGTACAAGAAAACGAATAATGACGCACTGAGGTTAATTTGGATCCACATGATATTTAGGTCTCAGTTGAATGGTCACTTTGATCAAGCAGCAGGAGCATGCGATATCGCTGCGCATGCAGTTGGCATCTGATAAGATGACGTAACCGTCTGTTTTCCCAGTAATGAAGTGAATTTTATGCTCTGCTGCCTCTACAAGAGACAGGTGTCTGAATGAGTCACAAACAAAACAGTTGCACAATCACCTGGTCCGAAAACAACACTTGCAGTTGTAGATTGCTACGTCCCTGTTTGTGTTAGGGCATCATAGTAGTACCCGGCCCGTGGATAACTACTGATGGTCGCACAAAAAAGCATCAGAAGTACGCCGGCACTGGGAACTGAACGTCTGCGAACAAATCACACAGTTCAGAGAACAACCGATGCTCCGGTTCTCAACGTCTCTAAAGCGCAATGATTATGACTGAGCCACGCGGCGTCGCAACGTGAAACGCTCGATAGGAAGGCAATGAACACATCTCTATCACGAGATATTGGAACAGAAACGGGCTGAATCAGTTGTTGAGTAAAAAACGGGATGATTCGATCACACTGGAAATCGTTGAAAAATAGCCACAACACCAGGTGCGGATGGATTTAATTTTCATCAACCAGACAGTCGATAAGAAAGTAAAGCCATAACACTGCTTTACCAAGGAACCACTGGTCTCAGATATAGGAGAATCACTAGGGACGGTTTCAAGCTTCCTAACAGATCAGTGAGCACACCTTTCAATGGGGTAACCGCGGCTACTGAAGGCAGATGCTGACTACTGACCTATATTTGTGAATGTGAATTTGATTGTCGCTCAACCCGCGGCTAAAAAGCTAAGGCGTTACACTAGCGATGTCCACAGATGGCTCACGGAGGGGCCAGCTATATCTCTAGCGTTTAGATTTCCGTGAAGTAGGGACTGGGACGCTCACTTGAACTACATTAACGGGCTTGGATGGCATACGCTAATCAAACAGGCTCAACAACAAACAAATGACCCAGGTTGCTAACCATAGTGTGAGCAATTGGGTTGTGATAATTTTGGTTATTCAAGTTAAGTATGGTGTCATAATAATAATAATGGGTGTATTTCTCTTTAAATGAGAAGTTGCGTCCATATATGGTGCATATTAAATATGTACAGGTAGTACCATGCTTTTCCATGGTCAATACGATTTTGTGGTGAATAACAATCAAAGGTATATTTCTCGTCAGTGCGAGGTACGGTCCAAACGGATAGTACGATTTTTGGTGTAAGGCGAAATCGCAAGGAGCAGATGTTGTATTTCTCGAATTTCCCAAAGCAGTCATCAAGCTTTTTGGCGGACATGACTACTTGGTGCCAAAAAGCAATAGCGAATTGTGATATTAGGATATGACAACAACGCTGCGAAGCACTGATACACACTCGAACCACTTACTTGCACTCCCCGTGGGTGGCAACGGAGCCCCAGCGACGGCGTTGTTCGGTCGCACAGCGCTGGGGCCACTCATCACAGGCAGCGTCGCACACGTGTGCGTTGTGACGTAGATCTTCTGGGTGTGTGGTGGCACGTTTGTTCCGATGAGGCAGAGAACGCGAAACACGTAGCAGATCGATTTGATTGGATAGTGGCCAAGAGAAGAATATCTCATGCAACTGATTCAATGACCCACGGAGTTGAGCGAGCAAACGCGCCTCCAGTATGAGTTCCTCATCAGGTAACTGGTCCGAATCGGTGGTAGGCTGTGGTGATGCGATTTCCGCGTTCTGAGACTCGGCTCTCTTCAGCGTGTGTGATGCCTTCCGCTCCACGTGAATCGAAAGCGCCAGCTTGGCTGTGTCCTGAGTACCGAAAATAGGAATATGTGATGCACAACGCGGAACATGGCGAGATTAAGGAAAACACCAGGTTTAACCTAGCCAAACTGATCACACCATACATACGGAACCGTTTCTTGCAAACTTCGACAAGGTGTTACAGTGGTCAGTTTAGAGTGTCGTAATGACAAATGTGTGCTGCAATGAACCGGAAATGCCAAGGCAAATAAGAGTGTGAAATCATGGGGTTATCGAATTTCCATGGACTACTGGGTCCCCACCTACGAAAACATCAGAAAACGCGTATGTGACTACTTAAGCGTTTGACTCCGGTGATCCACTCGGGACAGAGATGGCGATGAGCTTCCATACGACTCAGCTTTTGAGCTGGGTTCCCTTGATTGTCGATTCCAAACCGAATGATGACATCTGTCCTCCTGGGTGACACGTTTCATGGAATTCTACGACTGCTTCCGATTCATACCACTAGACCGTGATATTTCAGGAGTACCGATGTAAAGGGAAGTCAAATGCAGTGATACGGTGTAACACATGTCTGGCTGCTTCCCCTAACAAATGGAGAATTTCTCGATTCCAACAAAGACAGATCAGCTCAGTGAATCGGTCACAGTTTGGGAGCTGAAGTACGGTGGATGCAGCATCCATAAACCCGCTGCGAAAAGGGGAGGAGAGAAATTATGTAAACAAGTGTACAAACAAAAATATGGAACGGAAGGTGCGGAGAGAGGTTTCTGGCAATCAAAAGCGGCAGAACAAATGTGAGAACACCATTGGCCTTGCGACTGTGCCACCTCGAAGGAGATCTATAATAGCAAACGTTGCTGGACCAGCCCGACGGAGCTACTCTGTCATCTCATCGCTGTGTTGTCATGCGGCCTCAAACAGGAGCAGGAAAGTTGAACATCAGACTACATCGTCAACCGATATGCGGCGAAGATGACAACAAAATAGACTCTTCGTGTTCAATCAGCAATGCGGTGACAATCTCAAGAATGCCTGTTAGATTATCCTACCGTGAGATTGTCCCCAGGTAGCGACTATCAAAGACGACAAGTCTTTCGATGTCTTCAACATGAACGCGCTGCACACCCTGCTCTTGAGTATCGTCATAGGCGGTTGAACAATGCGAGTAGAAGACGAGAATGGATGACTTGACTGAGCAGCAAGTTTCGGTGGCTTATTTAAATTGCTGCAATTCAACCGAGACATGTTTCTAAGAAACCGAACCATGGCTAATAGTCTCATCGAACTGCAGCGAGGCAGACACCACGACCTCATCGTTGCAAACAGGTAACAGTAGCCAAATTGAGAAGAGGTATGTAGCAAAAGACGTGGTGTCTAAAAATTGTGCCAACAGTCCCCTGCCGAATGAACTAGGATGAATAATCCATTTGCATAAAAATGTGGGAGGTTGGATTATCAAACCATAATTATTGAGAAGACACTAAAGAACAGCCAAAACTCCAAAGAGAACCTTACAAGACCGTTTGAAGAGTGTGTAACCAAAGCCAACAGACCGTGAATGTAAACAACTCAAAATTCACAGTAATTCACTAAACGTTTGTTCAATAGCACATCCACTCATAACTATCGCGAACGTTGCTAACAGTTTCACATCGAGTCTCTCTGGCTGCGACGTTTATAGCAAAACGATGCTCCTCCACAATCTGTTGCACCAGAAAACGTACTCTTACCTACATAATCTAGAGATGAAATACAATAATCACCACAGACTCCGTAACATATAAATTCATGCTACGGATACCAAGGGCTAGAAGATCGATGCGGTCCAACTTTTTCCTCATCAGATGCGCCGTCTTGTGGAACAGCCTACCAATCGCAATCAGGACATGTGAAAACCCAAATTTATCCCACACCAAACTCGACAGATTCTTTGATCTAAAAGTGACAGCATCCATGTTCTCAGCTGACGACTCATCTGATGAAATATTCCAAGATGGTCCAAAAAGAATTGGCGATAACATGCTCTCATGCAAGAGCATTAACATTTCTGTACATACTGATCTGTTCCTAAGTTAGGAACACTTCCAGAAATATACGTATATATATATATATATATATATATATATATATGTGAAAGAGAACATTCAAAGAGTGAATCCTTACTTTGATTGTGCGAATGAGATCGTACACTTTGTGTGTTGCAAGAAGCTGTCTTACGAAACGACCACGAAAGACAGCCGCCAGGCGGATAAAGCCGCGTTGTACACGTGGATTTGTGCCCTGCAAGAAGATGAAATAATTCTGATGCAAACGAAACCAGTGGTGACCTATTGGAGAAAGATTTGTAAAATGGGACGTCGACACGGGTCGTCGAGCAGATGAGGAGGCTGCAGGAAATGTAAGCTGGATTTAAAAACACAACTAGATTGTTCGAAAATTTGTGGGGAAAATCCGTTCTTAGGTTATCAACCGAGCCCACAACGGACAGTTGTCAGCTAATCAAAAATGGAATTACGGCTTTTGTTAACTGGATAGGGCAAGGAGGATTGACAGGGGCATTAATGTTTGCCCAGAAAAATTGTGTATAAGGGAAGATCTGGTGATGGTGTACTACTGAGAGTGAGAATTGATCAAACAGTGACGTCCGAAACGATGCTGACGGCAATGCACGTGTCGGTAGTGAAAATCACTACAGCCAACGTCCTTCGTTCACAGGCGTCAGAAACGCTGGAGGAGGTGAACAGCAACTGCCATATTGGCCGCAATCAGGTTGTTCCTTTTCGTACAAGAAAAATCACATGCCGTAATGGTCTATTGCAAAACAGACCAATAGTGTGAGCTAATTTGGCGGTTGTCATCCCATGGAAGATCATGATGCAATGCACTAAAAACGTGAGAATAGTAAACTGCACTGTACGCCGGCGGGACCATTTAAAACACGTGCACTTTTTCAGCAACGTTAACGGTAAGCGATAAGCTAGCCACACCAGACTCCGACTCGTGTGTAACAATTCAGTCACAAGGTGGGCGAATTTATTCGCTTCAACAGCTACAGTCTAGACATAGTAGGTGTGATTCGAAATACGAAAAAATATCACTAGCAGATTGATTTAGCCACGCCAAAATAGTTGTTTGAGTGAGCGAAACTATTCCTCCGCCTAGGTGAGACATTTTGGCTCTCAGATGATGGTTAGGCCCAGACACACATTCACACTATCGAATTTACCGCCAATTGATCGGTTAGTCAACGGTCCCCTTACGTTGATGTGAAGGCCTGTTCGAGGGTCTTGGCAATCGGTGTATGAGCTGGTGAAATCAGCGACAAAATCTCGGCAATTATACGTTGTATGTGGTATTTGATGATTTTATTCAACTAGGAACTATGGAGTGATTCTGCTGATAGATAACTCCGTCCCATCAGGGTTTTTGTGCGAATTAAAGGGGGTACACAATCACATCATCCAAAGAAACATTCATCAGTGATCCGTATCACAAATATCTTGGCTACGTGTTGGACTGTGCCTCATTCAATTGACAAAGCCACAGATTTGATCCGGAAAGAATTTTATTGGTCGACGTAAGTTAAACCGCGACGGTTAACTTCGATAAGCGAAAGGAAAACTTACTAATCGTCGCTGCTTCACTAGACTCAACGGACAGGATAATTTGTTCCCACAGATGCACAACTGTTCAGTCCCACGGGTTCCAAGGTTGGTCTTCTGTGCAAATGGACGAAAATGTGCGTAGAGTAGTCGCAAAACACATAAGAGGGCGGCAGACCAAAAACTGTCACACGAAAGCGGTAAGCTGTCTACAATATTATGGTAATGTTCACAAGAGCGATCGAGAGTACTAAGGAAAAGCGAGTTCCGTTGTTGTGGTCCCGATCCGTACGCGTAAGGAGCTGTTCGTATAATGCACTCAGACCCACAAAATGTACACTAGTAAATCTTCAAGTTCAAAGTGGGATACTAGAAGCCACGGGGGAAACGTGTGACTGATGACAAGTTATGGTCACCGCTGGGAACGGGGAGCGATCGGTAAAGGGCAAGAGTTGTAACGCTGCGCTGAAGGCGATACTTCTGAATGAGCAGCACCTAGGTGACATACACTTCCAACAGTCCACTGGCAGTGAAACCCAATCTATCGACGCCTTAACGCGATTACAAAAGGTAACTCTTGATTATTCAAGAAATGTATCACTGTTCGTTCCCACTGGTGATCAGATAGTTCAGGCAGCTGGTTTACTCTCAACAGGTCACCGGTTTCAGCCAGCTTGAATGGGGGCCATCTCGTGTTAACCCTAGTCTGCACGTGGTGGTTGCGTGGTTGCGTGGCGCTGATGTACCAGCGCATTGGGTCTGTCTACAGAGCTGCGCGTTCCTGCCGACGCCAACTTAAGGCATATGTGGCGTTGTCGCCACATTTCGCTCCCGTTAAACGGCAGGGTCTACAATGCTAGTTTTTTTGTGATACTCTTATGTGGATGCAAATCCTGGTCGATCCACGTAGATGATGTGCATAGGCATTCGACATCTGACAGTGACTGTTTGCAGAGGATCGTTCGTCTACATGAGCAAGATCAAGTGCGCAATACTGATGTCAGACACCGTGTCTTGGATAAGGCGGCTCTTACTCTCTGTGGGCTTGTTCTGCTGCGCCAAATGAGATGGGTTAGGCACGTCCTACGCAGCCCTAATGAGCGTTAACCACACAGTGCCCTATTTGCGCTCCCAGGGCAGCAGTGGAAGAGGCCGCGTGGAGGCCAGCTGACCACCTGACAACAAAACATCAGCAACACCAACAACAACAGCGATACATCAGATATCTGAATGGACGCTTCATTGTCGTACAACCGCCGTGATCTACGGAACAAAGAATAACAGCAGGAAAAGAAGGGGACCTAGCATTAAACTTTAGTGTTTTAAATAAACATTCAGTGTCAGGGAGCCAATAACTTGTCAACAACATGCCATCACAAACAACTGGCTATCGTGTAACGATAAGGCGACAAAGCATGTAACTATTGAAACCTTACTAAGCCATCGCTAGCCCTGTATGTCTTATTAGCTGGAGACCCAAAGATGAAGAATGCCATTGGCTTACAACGCTCCAAGCAATGACGCAAACCGGTTGCAATGAAAGCGATGTGTGCACATTTACGAGAATGCCTCGTTTCGGAAAGAAACGTAATGTGTAAAAAAAAGACAAAATATACTGATGTGCTTTGTTTCTCTTCATCATTAGTTCCTATTTCTAGCTGTTGTACACCTTAATCTTTTGTTTCCTAATGCTATGATTTTGAATGGCTCGATGTCTATTTCCAAAGTTTGATGGCTGTGTAAGATAATGTCACCGACCCACTGTGGATGCCTCTCGTCGTTGCCTCATCCCCTTGGTAATCGCAAGTATGTTCACGCTTGATACACCGAATGGTTGCTTCAAAGCACTTCAAATACACCGGAGCACACGGTTAACTCACAGATGCGCAGATTTCCTCGGTCTACTTGACAGTCGTAGGCTCACGCAAGGTCATGAATCTAAACCAAAACTTTTCGTTCACTGGCTTATGATGCTGTTCAACGATGGCACGCATTGTTTGTTTCGAAAAAGAATCACACGAAGTAATCAGCTAATCGTCTAACTTATGTACACAGGTTCTTCGGAATGTAAATTTCACCTTTGAACTGAATTCCCAGCTACTGGAATTGTAAAAAAACGGTGTACCATAAAGCAGAACGAGTGACATAAACAATACGATCACGGCTGATGCGACTCACAGTTGGAGCTGTGTTAGGTATGGCTTCCCTGGACGATACAGCGGCCAAATCATGGAGGGTGGAGATGGGATGCGCAAAGGTGTACTCTGTTGCAGTGTGGTCTGGCACTTGGATCATACCACGGGATAACTGCGAACTCGGCATCGAAGCTGCTTCGGAAGAAAAGAGTTGATATGCAACTGAGGCGGGCGGAAATTGCTGCGGGTGGCTAAGGGGACCACTCCAACCCACAGGCGATGGTATCGTGGGAGCCCGCTGATTGATGCGAAGGAGTTCCAGTTTTCGCTTCGCTCGAATATGACTATACGCCGTGTCTTCCTTGTGAAAAACAAAAGGGGCCAAACAGAGATTAATGATGTTCGAAGAGAATACAAGCGCGCACAGAATCCGCAAATCAACAATAGAGAGACGATAGAAAAGAAGAGATACGAGGAAAAAGGAGAAGGCCCATGTTCGAAGACGTAAATGACCAGCGGGACAACAATATGGTTACGGAGCATGTCTACTCTCGATTAGTTCGAAGGCAAGCGACAGCATTACTGAAGGGATCAGAGATGTAGCTACTAAGTGCCTTGACCATCACTTCCTGCAAATTATTTTTCATATTTGGCAGGAGAACCGTAATTTGGTGCCCGGCATTAGACCATCCGATACTTCCATGGAGTAACTTGGACTCAAATAATCTTTAGTGGTTCAATCGTGTGCTCCGCATACCTAAAAATGAGCTGCCTATACGTGTGTTACCTGCTGAGACTACACTCGAGGTGACTATTCAATCACAGGGTAAGAGAGCATGAGGGGCTGAGGCGTTGCCTTCTTGCATAGGGACACGTCAATGGCTATCTGGTGCTGCAAAATCATGAAGTCGGTGGCGGTATCTATTTCGTTCCATTATTTCTATGTACTAGTTACCCCACCTTATGACTTAGTTTCTCGTGCCCTGCTCCTAAGTATTATTATTATTAATATTATCATTAACGTCACTATTGTTATTGTGACAAGCTTAAGATAACCGGACCTACCGAATTCCGGTGAACAAATCATAATTGATGGACTAAACTGAACGGCGACTCACGCTTGAGAGGTTTGCACAGGTTAACGATCAAGACAAAGTGTTCATGTGTCAAAAACTGGCACCTCCATTACTAATTCTCGGAGACCGGTAATTGCAATGTGACGGGATGCACCGCCTTCGTGACAGTACTGGACTCAAAGAGTGGCTCAGTGGAACGGCCCAGACACTACTCTGTGTAAGGATGAGACGCACGTTTCGCTATTTCATCTGAAGGATGTGCATGCTGAAGACGTTTGAGCCTGTTCCGAGTCAATCGTGACTTTCATCCACGTGCCTCCCATGTCATATTCGGAAAGTAAATGAACGTATGAGTGACGCGGTGCATGCTGGACTTGGTCCCAGTTGAAGCGCAAGCACTCTGTGTCTATCCGTGCTGAAAACTAGTGACGTCAACCATATATATGCACTATGGCTTTGCTGATCGGTTAACAAAAAGAATCACGACTGGTACCTTGGAGGAAACGTGAGAAACCATGATGCGAAAAAAGACAAAACTTCTCCCAAGTTGAAGTAGAGTGAAAACCGCTTCATTTACGACAAGGCTGATAAACCTGTAACGCATGTGACCACAGCCGTAAGTGCCGAGTGGGAATGCGACCACAGCAACTGGGAGACATTTGTGAGGTCTGTCAGTTAGGACAAACGACCAAACGTGAACAAAATTGCAGACAAAATGAGGAAGAAATGGAGTAGCACGTTCAATTTGACACCAATATGTCAGAGTAGATGATGAAACAGCTTAGCAAACTTACTCCCAAAGAAGCTGGGCCCAGACTAGTGTTGGCAAGGTTTGAACTCGTGGACTCGAGGAATCCCGCTCCTGGATGGTAACGAGGGGTCTGATCTATCAACGGAGAAGTTTCAAGAGAAGCTCGCCAACGCGGTAATGACCCATCGCCGGAGGATGCGGCTGCGGATGTGTTCCATGACCCATCAATGGATGGTGCAGAAGTTGGAGAAATGATACTGTGACCGGTCGGATAAGTAGCGCCTTCGTTCATATTGTGAGAATACTGCGTCGTCAGGTGTGTAGTCAGAATGCTGTTCACGTTGGTTTGAATTTGGTTCAAAATCCGTGTACGCCTGTCCGGATCCAGACCCAGAGACTGCGACGAATACATGAGTGAAACCAATACGTAATAACGAACCGAGCGACTAGAAAACTACCGTTTTGACAATAATAAAGTGGTGTTGATGCTTCGTTACCAGGGAGCCGTGACAAGGCAGATGGTTCCAAGCAAGTTTAAAAGAGAGAGGATGATATACCTTATAATCGTTCGGAGCCGAATAACATACGGTATAAGAACCCCGTTATAAGCACGTGCACTTCGAAAGGTGTGGTTATAACCAATCCTGCTCTGTGTTAACTCAGGTGACTGGAAAACTATGTAAACCAGAGGCTCCACTAAAAGGTGGTACCAGCTGCTTTACTTGGTTACGTTTAATATCTGTCGGTTCAAAGAAGAGTAAGTCAAACGGCAAAAACATGTCATTTGGGCTGTGAAGTTCTGCAGATGCACATATTGCAGTACACATATTGTTTACTGGCCTGGTGCGAAGGGAAAAAAGTTAGACATAAGGAGTTGGCTCACACGAGCAAATAAAGTTACAACAGTAAACAAAACATGAGGTGTGGTGAGGCAGTTTTCTTAGTGAACCGGGTCGGTTGTCCAGTATGGCTCGGTTCGAGTCCTGAGACCAACACTGTCGTGTCATATATGTGCATAAGGGCGGGCATCCTGGTCCAAAAGTAGAATTTAGGGAGCTATTTAATGTTGTGTGCTCCAAACAGTGCACTAACAAGAACGAGCGATGCCAAAAATTCGCCACTTCATATACCACCGGAATTAGTGAGATCCAGCTCGTAGAAAAGCGAAATCCATTTCCAGACTGCATACTAAAAACCAAATACACGGTGGGCACGCCAAAACCCACTATAAAATCTGGGAACCGTATGGAACGTCTAAGGTAGAAGCTAGTGAGGAACCAGTGAGACTACTTATAAAGTCAACATTTGGTCTATCGCAAAGGGCGAACAAAGGTGCGTTTACTGATCACGTGACTGAAACGAGTAGACATGGAAAAATGATGCAAGTCTAACGCATAGCGGACACACAAGAACAGATAGGTACAGATCAATCAATACATTCGCTCTCACTGAGGTCTGTTAGGATGAGCGGCACCTAAGGAATGGATTAGTGAACTATATATGGAACAAAATGCAATCTTTTTCCAGTAATCTAGCAGATAATTCGAACTGGTCAAGCAAAAGAAGGTTGTAGGTAGAAATTCATCACAGCTAGATTCTGAAAGACAACCAGCTCTCGGAAAAGCATTGTACGGTTGTCTCACCCTTTCGGGGGCCATCGCAATGAGGCTGGACCTTACCGTAGTGCGATGGTTTGTGTGCCTCAGCGATCTATTGAGCTATGCTAGGTGGTGCTTTTGCACCTTTACAGTCACTCATACCAGACTGGTCAATGGTTAGAGGCCAGAGAAACTCAGCCTCCTGGTCCTCCAGGTTGGGGGTTGGTATGAGGGTGGCACCTTAGTCCTTAAATCGGACTCCTTTTAATCCAATGCCAAACCCGCTGCCGTGTGTTCAGGTATCGGTACCAAAGGCTTCGGTTAAGAACCCTAGTCGTTCTCCCGTCTAGGCCTGGACAACCTGACAATATCCTGCTCACGCAATACGATGAATCTCTCTTCAAACAATTACTTGATGCTCTGGCCACCGCAGAGAATAATCAAGGGTGCCCTATCTGCTGCATCGAGCTGGGTGTATAGGGGTTTGGATGCTACTGCTCAAGCCTTAGCGTCTTCTTATTCCCCCTCTTACGCTTTTTCACTCTTACCGTCCCTTTCCAACTTCATTTATATCCCCCTAGTTTTCAACCCCCGATTCTTGGCCCTCCCCCAACATGCTTTGCTAGCGTTTATCTTATAGTTCCAATTCACATGTGAACTCCGAGCGTCACTTCTCTCCTGTCGACAAGCCCATGTCCAACCAAGCGGTCCATTCCAGTTCATCGACTTCCATTTGGAGCCTTCGATCATCCTTCAGATTCGCATGCCTCAATGTAAGCACATTGCAAAAGTCGGTCAACAGGCAGCACTTGCCCGAACATTGGAGACCCTCTCGATCGATATCTGCTGCTTATCGGAGACCCGCCTGCAAGACTCGAGTTCTGTGCTAACTCTACGATCCCCTTCAGGTGACGCAAACAGTATTTTCTCAGTGCGGCTATGCGGTGACGATGCAGCTTCGAGCACTGGCCAAGCTGGTGTTGGCATTACGCTGAGTCCCCGGGCTGAAGCTGCTCTGGTTGATTGGATTCCAATCAGTAGCCGGATGTGTGCGGTCCGATTGGCTGCCTCGTCTAAAGCTTCGAAGTCGCGCGGGACTAATAGATGTCTATTCATCATCGCTGCCTACGCGCCCACAAGCTGTAGCGATGATTCGGTAAAGAACGACTTCTACCGCCAACTGACCCAGCTCCTTCGCCACAGAAGAAGCACGGACACTGTTGTGCTGGCGCAGGATATGAACGCATAAGTTCGAAAGTTGTCCACTGATGAAATGCATCTGGGCAGTCAGCACGGTGTAGGCTCCCGTAATGATAACGGTGAGCGTTTACTTCATTTGAGTGAAGATGCTCGCTTATTTCTTGCGAGCACTAATTTCCGACACAGCACCCGCCGGAGGGTGACTTGGCGCCTACCAATCTCCAACCAGCCTTGGACGCAGATCGATCACATTGCCATTAGTTACCGCTGGAGAGGCTGCATCCAGAATTGTCGCTCGATTTGGAGCACATGTGTGGACACCGATCATGCACTTTTATGTGCTGACATGCAAATGCGCTTTGGTGGACGCCCACGACGACGCTGTGAGCGAATTGACACCAGCCAACTGACAAAGCTAGCGGTTCTGAATGCGTATCGAAGTACGCTGACATGCGAGTTGAGTAAGCGCTCACTGGAGACAACTGATGGTCACTGGTCACATGGTCACCAGACCTTACTAGCAGCAGGCAAATCCTCATGTGGTATGTCTAATAGCCAACATGGATATTGGGTCTCTTCGCGGTCTCTGGAACTTATCAACGCTCGCCGGCATATCCCGGCTGGAAGCGAACACAATGAAACTCGCAAAAAGCTCCGGACTAGCCTGAAGAGAGACCGCGAATCTTGATGGTCTCATCGTGCGTCAGAGATGGAAGTGGCCGCTGCCGTTGGTAACCATCGGGTTAATCCGTCTGATACAGGAAACGGGCAGCAGGAGACCTGGTGTTAGTGAAACAATTTGTGATGAGAGTGGACAGCCTATCCACAATTTGTCAAAATGCTTGGAGCGTTGGGCTGAGCCTTTTGAAAAGCAATTTAATCGGCTAGAATTGTTCTATTCGCCGGTCACTGATCGCCCTGCTCCGTGGGCTGTCCTTTTGGATCCACACTCTCGCTCAGAAGTCGAACGTGAGATCGGACTGTTGAAGTTGAACAAAGCCGCGGGACCAGATAATCTTACTCCAGCCCACTTCAAATTCGGAGGCTCTAGTCTTGTTGACGCCTTACATGAATTACTACTGAAAGTGTGGGACCAGGAGACGGTCCCAACAGACTAGAGCCGCTCCGTTATTATTCCCATCTTCAAAGGCGGCTCGCGCTCGGAATGCGGCAACCATAAAAGAAGCAGTCTGATCTCCATTGCTTCCAAATTACTCGCCTCCATAATTCTTCACAGACTGACTGGCGTTCGTGAAAGCCAGATTCGTGAGGAGCAAGCAGGGTTTCGTCGTGGTCATGGCTGCATCGACCACATCTTCACCTTGCGTCAGTTGTTGGAGCACCGTCACACATATTGGCGGCCCACCCTAGTCGTGTTCCTCGACATCAAAGGTGCCTTCGATTCGGGCGATCGATGTGCCCTTTGGAGTTTTCTACTCATGAAAGGTGTGCCCGAGAAATATGTAAATATTATCCAAGCATTATATGCGCGTAGCACGGGCAGAGTGAGGGCTTACGGCAACCTGTCGCCACCCTTCAATATCTCCAACGATGTGAGACAAGGATGCCTACTGTCACCTTTCCTCTTCAACTTCGCTATTGACGAAGTCATGGAGTTTGCATCTACAGGACATGACTTGGAAGGTGTGGAGCAACTCCCAGGAGAATGAATTCTTGACTTGGAGTATGCTGACGATATTGCCCTCATCTGTGACAGCTCCCAGAAGTGCAAAGCCGCGCTGGACAGATTAGCACTGGCTGTCAGCTGCTTCGGGCTTCGCTTTGCACCATCGAAGTGCAAAGCGTTCCTACAAGATTGGCAGGGATCGCCTCCTGCGCTGACCCTTGGTGGGGATCAGCTAGAAGTCGTTCAGAAATTCAATTACCTGGGAAGTTGTACCAGCGCCCTTGGGATCGAAGACGAAATCACGAACGGCATATCAAAAGCTGGAAGTGCTTTTGCTAGTCTTCGCCACCTATGGGTGCGGCGAAACATTACTCTCGCCCTGAAGGGTAGAGTGTACAATGCAACGGTACGTTCGACCATACTGTACGGTTGTGAAACCTGGCCCCTAAGATCGGAGGACATGAAGAGGCTAGTTACGTTCGACCATCGGTGCCTTCGCAGTTTGGCTCACATCTGGTGGGAACACCGCGTGAGTAACGAGCGTGTTCGACGCCTTGTTTACGGCACAGGAAAAGGATCTGAACCGCTAAGCACCGTTATTTCCCGCACCAGGCTCCGATGGCTCGGCCACATATTACGCATGCCAGCCCACCGACTTCCACGATGTGCGTTGTTTGCTCACCGAGGATGTGGGTGGAAGAAGAGGAGAGGTGGCCAAGCGATGACTTGGTCCAGGGGAATGA